TGCCTGTCGCTTGTCGTCTCCTTATGTGTCCTTGTTTTGAACCTTGGCTGGTTTAAGCCATAGCAAATAGTTGCAAAGTAGCAACTGTGGCTTCCACATATATGTTTTCGAAGTGAGTGAAAATGTTTTCTTGTAGTTCCTATTTATCCGTTCTTCATCTCACAGCAACATATGTAACTCTATAGTCTTGAATGTAACGCTGCATTGCAACCCCGTGTGTAAAGCTTTGCGCTTGAGAGCTTACGAACATTTTACGTTGGATAATCTAACTTTGTCGGCAATGTGCTTTCATCATAAATTAATTGCCATAGTGTACATATGTTTGGAATATATTATAACTAAGTAATTTGACCTTTTAACAAATGTAGCACGATTGTAAAATCGTATTAGAAAACGATTAATACAATTAAAAACTATAATTTTGCGACAATAAATGCTGCTAATCAAATAGATTGAAATGCATAAACACTAGTACAACAAATTAAGGTGGTTTAGTATACTAACCACTTTCGGAAATATCGCGAATATTTTTTTATTCTCTTAAATAGATTAGAAATGCTTATATTATACTTTTTGCTTTGCCACACTAACTTTTGAGATCATGAAATTAATAGTTAAAACATTTTGCTCGGACATAGCGCCAGAGTCTACAGATAAAGTCACATGACGATCCACTACTGAAAGCTATTTTTGTTAGTACAATGTACAAGAGGACTAAATATCAGCAAAAGTTCTACTGGACTAATCAGAGGATGTATGAAAGGTGAAAAGAGCGGATCAATTTCGATATGATCAAAAGTGGAAGGCAACAATTATCCACCCATTATTAATATAGACTCTATATACCATTTTTTGTAACATCAAAGCGCGCCTATGGGTTTCTCAAAACAGATTATCAAATCAAATTGTTTTGGCATGTCAAAACTAGCCTGCTTAGGTAAATTGAAATACAACTGAACAGTATTTGCAATTAATATATCGCAGCTAAATTGCATATATTTTTTAGTATAAAATAGTCTCTAAGTGTTATCTTGAAGTTGGGTCGCATTATGTCACCGCGCCAAAATGTAGGCAACAGTTTGCATATATTTTGAACATTTGAATTTTTGGAATAAAAATGTGGAAAAGAAAACTATATAGGAAAATCTGAAAATCAGCAGCAAGAAAATTCAGTTCAAGGTTTAGTGTTAAAAACTGCCATGTTATATTATATTATATTAGGAAGGACATAAGAACTCTAGAAGGAGTGCTAACAATTCACTGTTTAAATGGCAGACATGCCAACAGACTAGATGCATCATACAATGACTATTATATGTATGTGGAAGCTGTCAGGAGGTAGAAGAAGAGGAGATTATAAAACATATTCGATGCGAATGCAAAGCTCTATACAGAAAAATAATCGCAACTACGGGTCGAAGGTTCCTGAACAAAGTTTCAGAGGTTGCACAAATAAAACTCATCAAAAGCATCGAGTGGTTCAGAGTGGAGACAATAGAGTGAGGGAACATTAGTTCCGCTGGTATAACAATGGACCTCCTATAGGCCTAGGTGTGTCGTCAGACAGCCACTCTACCTACCTAACTATATTAGGCTTGAAACAAGTCGCCAAAAGCCTCAATTAGAAATATGCAAAATCGTCTGCTATATTTAACTGGTTGTCTTTTTGTCACCCTAACGTATATATAGATTTCCTGCGCTTCGTTGGCTAGAAAAGCAATTTATTGTCGTATGATTCGTAGGAGTCGCACTTAATCGAACGCCAATCTGCGTATGGGTGTTTGCTGTTGTTTTAGCGCACGACTTTTCTTCATTGCAATTGTTTATACAATGTTTTTTTTTTATATTTGCTCGTTGCAATTTCAAATCATTATTTAATTTTTTTTTTGTTTTACTTCGCGAATGCGCTTTTGATCTCTGGAAATTTCCATTGGGGCGGAAAAAGTTTTCACGATATGATTTCATCATCAGCCATAATATACGTACATACAAACTGGCAACTGTAGCAGCAGCAATATCGATGTTGCTTGTCATAGTTCTTGCTGTTGTTTCTGCTATTGAGGAACGGCGCGTTGCAGTCACAAGCTATTTGTGGTACATTTATGATATTTCTGTCAATTTGTAGCTATGAGTGAGTGGGTATGTGGGTAAGTATGGCTAGGTATCTTAATTTTGTTGTTGTGCCTTTGTTGTATTTGATATATATACATACTTGTTTATTATTGTAATTCTTTTTTCTGCGCTCGCATTGTTATGCTGTTTATTGTGGCTTTCATTTTATTTATGGTTTGGTAACACGAAGCCGACATTGGCAATTTATTACCGCTACGGCCGCAAACATTTCCGCTGATCCTGCGGAAAACACTCGCATTGTCAGAGCAGCCAAATGAAATACGCTACATACAATGTTGCCGAAAGTACATACATACATATATACATACATACATGCCTACATAAGTACATAAGCACATGATTACATTAAGAAATCAAAGAAATAACAGCAATAGTGCGGACGCCTATAATAAAAAATAATGCAGGAAAAGTGAGTAAAAATGTCGACAATCGAATAATTTGTTCGCATCAATGAATCAATGATTGACGTTTATGGAATAGGTGTAGAGTGAGCGGGATAGATGTTGAAAATATTTAACCTTTACAACTCGGCAACAGTGAAGTGTGAAGTGAAAAGAGATTAGCTACAAAAATGGTGCTAAATCATAGCGTAATAAAATGTTTCTAGTAATTTTTATGTATGAAAGAAGCGCTGAGGAACAATTACAATTTTTGTTTAATTTATACAACACACATACTTAAATACTATATATGTAATATGATGTGCATTTGACATGCATTGAAAGTTAATGCAATGCCAATATTTAAGCTGTCTCCATTGAAGCCAATTGACAGCGGTTTCAAACGAATAGGGCCGGTAGGAAACTTTCAACCAAAACAGCATTGAAAAATAGCCAGACAGTGTTTTTTTAGGTTAAGTTATGCTACCCTGGCCGGTTGTCACGCCGCACATAGACCTATTGGTTTTTAGTAATGCCAGTTGGAGGTTCAGTTTAATTTGTGATATCCGTCATACAGAACCAATCAATACCATCTGCGAACTTTAAGAGTGGCTGCATAACTAAGTTTGATGGTTTATCTAGGCCCTTGAATTGCTAAGCTCCTAGATATTTAAAAAAGACTTCTAGACAATGTTATACAGGGGCATATGAGTTCTTCTAGCGTCTCTTTCATGCCAGTTCTCTGCACTTACTGCATGTATCGTCGTTCCTCATACCCATCCAAATCGCATTTGTTGTCTGTAGGTTCTGACCTGTCAAGAGGCCAACAATCGTTCGGCAATCCTTTCGCGATGCTTTTTTAAAGTTCTTAACCAAAGTGCGATAAACGTATGTTTAGATCAGCAGATCAGAAATGTTATATATTTTGGAAATGAACTCCGCATGTAACCTGGACTTTATATATCCTTCGAGTAATATAATTTGGTCCTCTGAAGCGTTCAGCTACCTACCTAAAGCCGATACGATATAAAGAATCAAGTATATTGCACAATAAATAATAAAATTAAATTAATTCTTCTCCTTTAAAATATATATATTTCCAAGGTTTACAAACAAAACGGTTTCTCTCTATTGACACTGCAAAATTTATTACACGAAAGCATATCTCGATTTTAAACGATGCTGGAATTACAGTGCAGCCGTAAAAATAGAAGCTATTTCCTCGACAGTTCGTTCTTCGGAATGAATGCAGATTGAAATACGTCCAGACTGTGAGCCACCTTTCGAATATGAACACGCAAATATTTATATTTTTTTATAGATTTTTTCTATGACATGTATTTCTACCCATCCCCACTCCCGGGTAATGTCAACTGCCTTTACACTATTTCAGAGAAAAATCGATTTCTTGCGGGGCTGCTGCTCCAATGGATTACTAAATAGCGAACTACTTAAGTGTGCTTACGTGGTCTCAAATATGCTCGTGTATACATGCATACGTCGTGTATGTATATACATATATGTCGAAGTATATAGGGATCGCATGTTCTATGGAATTCTGCTCTTAGCAACTATGAAAGTCAGTAACGTAAAAAATAAAAAAAAGTTTCAACAAAAACAACAAGTTGACACAACAAAGTGTATGAGCAATTGGATAGCATATTGCTTTAGTTTATTTCACGCTTCGCTACACAAATGTTATATCAACATAACCAAGAGAGGAGAGTTAACCAGACCCTCCTTACCGTTTGTCACCGCTCATGACGCATTTGCTAAGACAACGCTTTAAAAAAAATTTAAGCTTTTACATGGCAAATTACTGAAATGTAAAAGGGTTGGATTTGTGTCAAGTTATTGGCTGTTTACAGATATAAGAATGGTCATAAGTGCAAAAATGTAATAAGAAAGTATGTGTGAACAGTTAGGTTTATAAGAAGTGCAGGGGCAAGACGAGAGAAAGTTTTCTAAAATGCGTATGAGAGGATATTTCGTCACCACAGAATACTTTAGAACCCTGCTCGTTTTAAATCTGGAAGGGACTGCTGTGTACTCAGGGTCTAAACCGGTTTGAAACCGATACCGTTTACTTGCCTAGAATTTAAATTGGTTTGTGTTTAATTTAAATTTACAGTTTAAATAATGGCCTCATGCTTTCAAGGATCAACTGATATTCATAAAGCACATACTCTGGCATGGTCTCGGAATAAGTGGGTTAAAGTTTTAAAGGTTCTTCAACTATAAGGGAGAGTGATTGTCACAAACGTTTGAAAAATATATTTTCCTTGTATAATTATAAAATATGTATCAAAAAGCCAAATAATATATCGCGCTAAAGCACCAAGTGAGTAGAAATTTTATTTTTCACATTGATTTTTATTTATATTGCAAATTTAGTACGCTTTCGCTTTAAAGACAGCGATTATTGACATTTTTATTTATTTTTTAATTTCTTTGGGTTTTTATCGTTTTTTTTTTTGTTTAATTTTTCTTTCTTTATATTTTTTTTTGCTAGTCTTGCTTTTTATTCTGTCTTTACATTTGAACGCGCAGTTCATTTGCACAGAGACACACATACACACACGAGCGCACAGTAATTTCTTTCGTGCATACGAGTATGCTTTCATTTTTCTGGTGCCAGAATGTCTGTCTAAAACCAAAGCCAGTCGGTTCGCGCTGTGCCCGTAACACCATAATAGCATGGCAGAATATGGCACGGCACGGCGTGCTGCGGGACCGGCGGACGATGCTTAATGAGTTGCTGAGGCAGCCAAGCAAATGCGCATAGCACAAAGGTGGCAAAGTGGCGGCGGCAAACGTGACGGTTGCGGTTAGTACCAGCGTGTATGTATGTGTGCGTTAGTGTACTCAATATATAACAAAGTGAATGGTGAGTACGGGGAGCGGCCGGCATTGCCAGGTAAAGGAGATGGAAAATGAAATGAGATGAGTGGAGCTTGACGTTCAAGTTGAGCTTGAGGTTAAGATAGAGGTAGAGGTGAGCATGTGTAACGGTGTGGCGAAGTGCAGTGTGGTGATGTGGGGTATATTTAGCGTATATGAGTATATGGGGCAATCAAGTTGGAGACTCAACGATGCTCGGGTAATCAGTCAGCTGTAGTAATTGTCGCAGCCCCACCGCAATGCAGCTCCCTCAAGCTGACAAATATGAGTCGCAGGTAACGTGTAACTAATTTCTCTAAATGTCAACGCATACACATACACAAGCCATATGGAGGCTTTCAGTTGGCAACACGTATGAATCCACAAAAGCGTTGCAAGGGCATCAATCCAAACGGACGTTCACTAGTAAGAGTGTGGGTGTTATGGGGTGGGGGAGAGCGCGTACAAAGCGTGTAGGCGTACATGTTGCTGTGCGCACGAGGAAAGTTCTAGTGTCGACTGGCAATCAGTAGTTGTTGTACAATCATTTTGAAAGCAAATTTTGTGTTTATTGTTATTTTATTATTATTTTTTTTTCGCATGCATTTTCGAAATATTCGTATGCACTATAATCTCAGCTTAATACATTATTCAATCGCACTTCAATTTCCATTCTACTAGCTGGGTGGGTCAACAGCGTTTATCTTGATTTGCCGCAGTTAACATTGAAAATCACCATTCAAGCAAATTACGTTTAAATAATTAATTTTTTCCTGTTAAAGCATTTGAGGCAGCGGCAAACAACAAAAGCAGCCAAACTATATAAAAGCGCTGAAGCAGAACAACAAAACGAATTATTACGTGCAAACCACATAAAATGTAATTATATTATTAGAACTTGACGAAATGAACGCAGCGCTGCTCTGTGACATGGAAAATTTCTTGGTGACTTAACCCATTCAGTTATACCGTTGAGACATAATTGAGTAATTCTAGAGAAAACATACTAGATAAAAATGTTGAAGGGAATACAAATACTTTCAAATTGGAATTAGCTACGTAAATGGACAGCCATATTACATAATAAATATGTACTAGAGACTAGATCTCAAGTCCCTAGAATCTTAGAATATTTTTTTTTTTTACATAGGTCTTTTGGTATAATATATTCAAAGCACAATCGAAGGCCATTATTCGAATTTAAACTGATTGCTCGGCCTTTCGGAACTTTAGAACTTGTGGTACGGTAAACTTTGCGTCGCAGAGAAGTGTGGACAACTATTTCTTTTTATCTGAGGAGCTTTTGAAGGTAAGCTATCTAACTATTGTATTATATAGCATAGAACGAATTTAACAAAATCTGGCTTTTGTCAGATGTACCGGTATGAAATGAGTGTTTTTTTTTTGTGAAAACGAATAACTAATTTTGGGAGAAAAAAAAATTATTCAATGTATTGACCATTGCTTTTTACACATTTTGACCACCTTTCCGGCTCGTTCACAACAAAGGTTCCCTACCAACACATTTTTGTAGCTCAACGCTCACTTGATACCGGTATATGCCTCATTCCATTGAATATACCTACAATCAATCAATTACATATTTTCCAGCATGTAAGCCACAAGGTACACAATCGCAGCGCAGCTGCCTCGTCGTGCGCTTTAACAACCCACAAGCAACGAGCGGCTAACAATCGCCAACCCAATCAAGTCAGGCCATATAAGCGAGCTTGTTTAATTAAAATTTATCACAGCGTCCAAAAATGGCAAATAATAAGCGGAAGGAGGGTAGGGCAGCAGAAAATTGCTTGATAGAAGCGGTAATAAATAAATATTAAATATAAAAAAAAAAACACTTTTAATAAGAAATACAATCAATCAGCGGCAACGGGGAGAAGCGGTGCAAGCGGCTGCGCACAAGCGTGTAGCACGGAAGGCGGCAACAGCCCAAGTGCAGGCATATTTTATTATATTAATAAAACTTATAAATGAAAAGAAAATCGTAAAAAATATCGAAAAATTAAAATTAAATTATTAAACGCTAACGAAACTAGCAATTATGACAGCAACGGATAAGTGCCAGGGGGAGTCACGTTAACAACAGCGAAAATTGTGCGGCCTGGGACGCTGAAACACATCTCTTTTTTTCGGAAATGCCAAAAACACGATTCCTTTGATGAATTTTCTTTGTGTTTTTTTTTTTGTTTTTTGTTAATTTGGCTACAAACACTGCTGGGGGCACGTTTGACTGCGCTGCAACAAGTCAAAGTGACACACACACATGCATATAAACCACATACACTAGCGCTTGTATTGGCCCACGCTAGCGAATGTGACAGACTGCTGGACGTCAGCAAATTGTGTTGAGCGATTTTTTGACGTGTGGTTCGCTTGAAAAACAACAGCAGCGGCAAGTATATGGCATAAATATTCTAGAATATTTTAGAGTAATTGCTGTTATATATTTATAGATATGGCTATTACTTATGGTATTCGTATGATCTGTACGTGTTTGGGTTTTAAAGGTGATAGTGTTATAGGTAGCTCATGGTTGCTCACGTGGTGTTGTACTAAATATTAAAATTTAATTTTCACAAATATATATGTAGAGAGAGAGAGAAAGCGAGAGAGAAAATTTGTATTTCTGTGGCTCAAATTTTAATATTTTTTACACAATTTTGAGTTTTTACCATTACTGAAGGAATTTTCTTATCTACATGGATTAGTGTGAGACTGGCATATTTCTGACTGAAGTCCACCAACCAACATTTACTAAAACTTCACATAAATATTAATATTGCATATTTTTTACATGAGTCGCTTTTGTGAAAAAATATGGTACAGCCAGCTGACTAGTTGGGTTCATAACAGTTGTCAGTTAGCCAAATAGTTCAATTCACAGCAAGAAATGTACTGACGAGTATGTCGGTTAGGTGTTTTGGGTATATTAATAATGGAAAAAGTTGCAACTGTGTAAAAATATTGCAAATTCAACGATATCGATCTAATTTTTATTTTATAATAGCCACAGTTTGTTACAAGATGAAAACATGGACAAAATTTTTATATAATATATAAACTATAAATGTTAAAAAATTTAATAAAATATTTTTTAAATTTTTTAAAAATATTTTTTTATTGTTTTTCTATATTTCTTAGCGCTCTGTGCCAACTTATAGTAACAGCCTATTATCACCGCTTTAATCTCAAGTGATATCAAGCAGTATAAATCTGTGTTCATTTAACGAACTGTTAGTATTTTGACAAGCCTTTATGGTAAACCTGTCGTCATATCGCCAAACAAATGTGTGCACCCAAATTAAATGACATAGACATCATATTTAAAAATATACTTCGAAATAATAATATTTTGTATTTATTTGCTCACTGCATTCAGAACAAGCCAGCGGCGAATAAATTCACAATTATATACCGGTACATAAAAATTAATATATAAAGACATATTAAACAGGTAAATATGCATGTAATATTATTAGGGTGGTACAATTTTTTTGCGTTAAATAGGCTTAATATATTAAAAGCGGCAGAGTTTCACAGGCAAACCAAACTAAAATTTTTAGCGTGCACCTAAATGACTTTCTGGCAGCAAAACTCTCAGCTACTTAACTTTACATACATATTTCAGGTATGAAAAAATTCTAAATTGCTTCAAGCATGAGTATGTCTAAATCAATAATTCATTAAAGAAATAATTTATATTTCAAAAACGTATATCAAAATCGAAAAAATGTTAAGAATTTTCAAATAATGTTTTCCAACGCATATCGAGCCACCCTAATGGTCACTATGCAACTGCACTTCTGGGCTGTGGTTGCATATTGAACTGACCGTCAGGCTGGCAGCAACAGCAACAGCATCAGCAAAAGCAGCGACTACATTAGTAATAACAACAACAGCAACAACCAGCACTTGACAATGATTTGTAGCGCGGTGAAATTTTTAAATCAAGCCAACAACGAATTGAGAAAATTAAAAATAAATGCCAAAGTGTTTTTGCATCTACATACAAGTACATATACCCACACACAGGCACCGAATCACTTGAGAGATTAAAAAATTGCGCAAGTAAATGTGGCAATTTTGCAATTCAGCAAATAATGCTTGTGAGCTACAAATTAAAATAGCGTATAAATTGGGAAAAAAAGGCCAAGCGCACGTGCGCCCGAAACTGGGCCGCTGCTGCGGTAGGAAAATGCATGAAAAAAAGCGACAATGACAACAACGACAAAAAAGCGAACATTTCGCAAATTTCATAAAAATTCGCTGCCGCATTTGACAAGCCATAAATTCTTCCTTTTTGAGAACATTTGCCGCCGCCGCCGCCGCCGCGCTGTTATGCACACACACGCACACACGCGCACACATACATACTGATATGCTTACACAACGGCATTTAAATACGTTAAATATTTTTATATTTTTTGCGCGCTTGTTAATCAGCGCATTTAATTTGCACGGCTTTGCAATTAAATTTTTCTGAGCCCACAAATGAGTGAGGAAATATCGCAAAATAAATAAATAATCGCCTGCCGGCCATTAATTATCCATGTTGCATTTCAGTTTTTACTTTTTTCACATTTTGCAATCGAAATACATAAGCGATACACTGATTCTTGGCGGTTTCACATTTTCATTGCATTAACAGTTATTTTTTAATATTTCATTAATTTCGACATTTATTTGCTTTTTGTTGCTTCACTTGTCTTTGCGTTTGCTATTTTTGGTCGCATTTTCGGTTGCATTAAAATAAATGTATAAAATTGTTATTTGCTGTTGTTGTTTATCATGCTACATGTTCATTGCTTTAAATGGGCGAAAAGAGATTAAGTTAATTGCCGTGCGGCTGCCGACTTCGCATCGCCACTCGACCGCCGGTCGGCGTCTCTTGTGGCGACTCTTGATGGTGCAGCAGTCGCTACTGCGACATTGGATTCCGCGCCTGTACCTTCTTTACCCAGTGGCCGTTTGGGTCCCTATCAATTGCTGCCGCAACGCGCGGCGGGGTTAAATGAGTGCGCGCCTCGTTAGGGCGGCCGTAAAATGTAATGACTACCGATTACTCATTTTATTAATGTTTATTTTAATATTCTGTTATAATACTCGGCGACAAGCAATGAAACAAATAAAACAAATTTATACAGACAAGTGTTGTGACAGTTGTTTCACCTGTTTCTTTTTATACTCTGAACATGTTATATTAAGTTTGCTAAAAACACTCAGCAGGAAACATCGGATACTCTATAAAATATATATATATAATTGATCAGCAGGAGGGGCTGAGTTGATTTAGTCATGTCCATTTGTGTGTCCGTCTATCTGTATATACGCGAACTAGTACCTCAGTTTTTGAGATATGGATCTGAAATTTTGCACGCGTCCTTTTCTCTACAATAAGCTACTAATTTGTCGGAATTGTCGTTATCGGACCACTATAGCATATAGCTGTCATACAAACTGAACAATCGAAATAAAGTGGTTGTATGAAAAACTTTTTTTTTGACGTGGTATCTTCTCGAAATTCTCCATGGATTATTGTTAAAGACAGTTATGCAATCTCCGAAGATATCGGTTTTGTATGAAAAACCTTTTTAATTTGACGAGGTATCGGCAAGAAATTTGGCAGATATTATTGCTTAAGACATCGCTACAATTTCGGAACCTATTGCTCAGATCGAATCACTATAGCTTATAGCTGCCAGTCAAATTGATTAATCGAAAACAGAATAAGTATCTTTTTATACGCTTAATTTGCTATCAGAAATGCACTTGTGAAGGGTATTACGGCTTCCTCCTTTAGTATGAAAAACCCAAACTGATTTTAAAGCTATGTGTACTTTGTTTTCGCATAAAGAAAATATCGAGATCGAAGTGAGGTTATGGATAAATGGTGTTTCTAAGAAGAAAAATATTTGAATTTATCTACTTATTGCTACTAATGTGATTAATATATAAGAGTTTTAGGTACCACGGCTAGTTGTCCAAGCTATTCAAGTGATATTCCTCTTAGTACCGACCTTTAAATATAAACTAACCTAACTATCTGAAAGTATATAATGTGTCTATAGTAGAAACTTTACGTCGAATTTGAGCACACATCATCATATCAAATCTTGGGCATTCATCATCTCTTCACATGAACACCTTTCTTGGAGCACACGTTCTACTTAATTTCCAAGCATTGATACTTCCACCTAATACCAGCCTTAGTCACACAGAATAAAGGCTACTGTCTAAATACAAAGTGATCATGTGTATGAAGAGTCAACTTGTCGAAGAGGAGAGCATATTACCATTGAAGCAGCGAAAAGAGAATGCGTTCGCGGAAAACGTGGATAATATAGAGAGTTCAGAATAGAGAAAGCACACAACTGCTTGAAACTTGCTCAAAACATATTCTACTACTGCATCTATATTCATACTATTTGAATGACTTGACATTTTGTATTTCATTGAAATTATATACTACATCTCACAATCTTTGGTAATTTTGAATATCTGTCTAGTAAACGAAGCTTATACGAGTATATGGCTCATTTACGCTGCGTTAACAAGTTATTTGTGGAAAAATATTATGTGAAGCACATGCTCACAAGAACCCTGCCATACTTTCGTCACTCTTATAAATAAGTTTTTGTACAGCAAAAGCTGCGAACCGCTATTGAAGATCAGCTTCGTTATAGCTACATATATAAAGCTGAGAGATGCTCACCTCTCTTTTTACGAACCACCTTACCAAACATCCTCGCTATAAATAGCGCTGACGCATCCGCACAGATACAAAATAGAGCAGCCAATGCGGGGCGCTGTTGCGGTCGTTGACGACTGCCTGTCGGTCGGTTGCATATAAGGCGGAGAATTAAAATGAAATTAATGAAAATATTATAATAAGCTCACATTTTATGACAACAAGCTCGCTCCCGGGTGCACTTACTCACATGTGTGTTGTTGTTTTTTATAGCATATATGAATTTGAAGGCTGGTGGATAACTCGGCCTGTTGATTTTGCACTACCAACGCTGCAACTATATTAGTTTTGTTGTTGTTGTTTTTGTGCTCACCACCGTTGTTAAGGCTATTGTTTCTTTTGTATTTGCCAATTTGCAGGAGTTTCAATGCTTTCGGCAGCAGCGTTTGCCATAATTACCGCCGTGTGAGGCCAATTAATGCAATTAATAAAAAAAAATACAAAAAAACAACTCCTTTGCACAACAATAACAACATAATTAGACAGTGCTTACAGTGTGTAATTGAATTTGTAAGCGCACGCAACAACAAATAAATAAAGTGTACAACAAACATATACACATTTGAATAATTATTAAATACGTATGCATATATACATATATACATGTATTAGGGTGGAGCGAAATTTTTTTTTTGTTTTTG